GATTAGGTGTATATTGTAGTGCCCGGCAGTCCCAGCGGCCCAGGCCCCCAGCGTGCCAGGCGCTGTACGTTATGGATTAGGTGTATATTGTAGTGCCCGGCAGTCCCAGCGGCCCAGGCCCCCAGCGTGCCAGGCGCTGTACGTTATGGATTAGGTGTATTATGGTAGCACCTGGCAGCCACAGCCGTGGCCCAGGCCCCCAGTGTGCCAGGCGCTGGACAGACACAGACCAGACGGACCCTGCCCCAGTAGCCCTGGCCAGGACATCTCCCCCCACCCCACATCAGTCAGTCACCGACGCCCGCCCTGGAGCACGGGGATGCCTAGCATGACACTCGATGGTCTCTCTGCCCACACCCTGCCCCGGTTGGCACCAAGCAAGTCCCAGGTGTCAGTGGCAGCGGGTAGCCCACTGGGCTGGCACTCAGGAGCCCCAGGTGCTATTCCCAGCTCGGCCAGCTGGGTCAAGTTGGGCCACTTGTGTCCCCTCCCTCTGCCTCAGTTTCCCCATCTGTATGATGGGGGGCCGAGCCTGCCCACCTTTGCAGCGTGCGTTGTGATCTCTGGGGGCAGCGCTGGGGACGGTTGTTTCCGGAGGATGCCTTTGTTGGCAGGGTGGGGTGCAGCCATGGTGCCGGAGTCGCCCTCCTGTAAGCGCACATGCTGGGATCCCGCGCTGAGGGAGGGGTGTCCCTCCTGGGGGGGTCACCCAGGTTGTGTCAGATAAAGGTGCTGGGAATTAACGCTCTGTGGTGTCCTGCATTATCGCAATGAACTCGCTGCAGGGCCCCCTCCGCGGGAAAACGCCCACAGCCCTGGTCACATCACCAGGCGGGTCCCCGGCCCGGAGCAGGATCGAACCAGCAGAGCCACTACCCCGGCGCTAACAGACCCACCTCTGGACTGGCCCAGCAGCCCCTGTGTGTCCCAGCCACCAGGAGCCGGGCCAGGGCCAGGATGGGCTGCAAACACATGCGCCTTACGGGACCCTGGAGAGGGAAATGGCTCTGGGAGGGGAGTGGGGGCTGGTGGGTTAGCGCGGGGGCTGGGAGCCAGGACTCCTGGGTTCTCTCCCGGCTCTGGGAGGGAAGTGGGATCTGGTGGGGTAGAGCCGGGGGGGGCTCAGAGCCAGGACTCCTGGGTTCTCTCCCCGGCTCTGGGAGGGAAGTGGGGGCTGGTGGGTTAGAGCGGGGGCTGGGAGCCAGGACTCCTGGGTTCTTGCCCCAGCTCTGGCAGGGGAGTGGGGACTGGTGGGGTAGAGCCGGGGGGGGCTCAGAGCCAGGACTCCTGGGTTCTCTCCCCGGCTCTGGGAGGGAAGTGGGGGCTGATGGGTTAGAGCGGGGGGGCTGGGAACCAGGACTCCTGGGTTCGATCTCTGGGTGGGGAGGAACCAGTGCTACATTCCTATCCCTCTGTTCAAATTCCAGTCCCCCCTCTGCCCCCGCCCCTTGTGGCTGAGGACATGGGCGCCATCCACAGAGCATTCCCTGCTGCACCAGAGAGGATCTTTAATGGGGGGGGGGGGGAGATTACAACAGCCACCCTCTCCATACAACCCGCACACGGTCAGCACCCCGAATCGGGAACCCGCTCCCCATAGCCCTGCCCCCACCCCACCTCAGTGTGGAGAGTGCCAGGCGGGGGTGTGTGTGTGAGGATGCTGTGCCTGCCTGGGAGGGGGGGGGGAACAGGTGGGAAGGGGGGGGTTGGCTGCCAGGCTTGAGGGGTGGCTGGGTGAGTAATGGGGGAATTGTATGATGACCCGGGAGGGAGCCCTGGTCTAGGATGACCCCTGGTGGGGGAAGTGGGATTGTACCAGGGCTGGGATTGTACTGGGGGTGGAGAATTGGACACATCCCCCGGTGCTGAGGGATCAGGGGGGCTGGGGAGAAGCTAGGGGTCTGATCGGGTCATTATATCCCTGTATCGCCCTGCTGAAGTGTACAGGGCAGAGGGCTCCACGTCTGTGGGGATGGGGGTCTATACTGGGGTTCCTCTAGCCCTTTATGGGCCCTGCTATACACAGCGGGGTGTATGGGGGGCAGTCCTTGTGGGCTCAGGGGCTCTCTGTCTGGAGGGGGGCTGATCCCTATATCCATCTATAGCCCCAGTATACAAGTGTGGGGGGGCAGTCTGTATGGGCTCCGGGGCTCTGAGTTGGGGAGAAGTTGAGGATGTGTGTGTGTAGGGGATCTGTATTCAGGTCATTATAGCTCTGTATTGGCCCGCCGGTCTATATAGGGTAGCCGGCTCTAATTTGGGGCTTGAGGCCAGCAATCTGGTCATTATATCGTTATTTTATCCTACTTGCATCAGGCGCTTGGAGTTGGGAAGGGGAGGACTCTATAGCCATCTATAGGCCCCAGTATATACAGCCCCAGTGTGGGGAGGGGTGCAGGAGGTGCTGGTCCGTACGGGCTCCATGGGGGATCTGGTCTGAGCCGTCCTCGCTGCGGTGCCCAGCTGGCAGGGAGACATGTCCCGTCTCTGTCCCACGGATCCCAACTCCGTGGGGAGGGACTGGCTAAGCTAGGGGCGACAGACAGGACGAGCCGGGATCCTCTGCTGGGGTGGGGGGACTGGAGCCAGGGGTCTCGGTGCCCAGGGGCGTTAGGTGCTGCCTGCGGAGTAAACACAGCGAGAGACGTGTCAATGAACCGGGACAGACAGACAGAGACAGACGGAGAGACAGAGACAGAGGGGGGCACACGGACGGATGGACAGTCAGAGACGTGGCGGGGGCAGATGGACGGACGGAGAGACAGAGACAGAGGTGGATGGGGGGATGGTCTGCGTGGGGACGGGAGGATGAGGGGAGGGATGGGGGTCTGTGTGGGGACGGGGGGCGTGGGGAGGACGCAGGGAGGCAGGGGAGGTGTGGGGGGGCGTGGGGAGGACGCAGGGAGGCAGGGGAGGTGTGGGAGGGCGTGGGGAGGATGCAGGGACACTCAGCCAGCCAGGCAGCTGTTACCTCCAGCATAGTTGTGCCCTGCGAGGGGAGAATAACCTGGAAGGGGGAAGGAAACAGAGTTAGTCAGAGGTGATGCTGCCCCCCTCCGCACATGCTCCCCCCAACCAGCAGGGGGCAGCGGGGCACAAGTGCGCACACACACACACACACACACACACACACACACACACTCACACACATACGCTCTCACTCTCTCTCACCAGCAGGGGGCGAGTGGGACACACACACACACACACACACACACACAATCAACCCCCAGCACCCGGGAAGTGCGCCTCACATTGTCCCCGTCTCTTGCAGGGACCCCGGGACACCCTCCCCGTTGGGAATTGGGTTGGGGGCTCAGGATCCCCGGCGAGGGGGACACGTGGCCCCAGCCCCCCCACTCCTCACCCGGGGCTGGCGCCCGCCGCCAGAACACCAGGCCGGTGCCCAGGAAGATGAGGCCGAGGATCAGCACCACGACAGCCACGCTGACCTTGACCGTCAGCCCCGGGGACAGGCCGGGCCCTGGGGGGGACAGCAGGGGAGGGGTTAATGGGGGTAGACTGGGGAGCCCCCCACAGCACCCCTGCACTCCCAGCCGCAGTCCTACCCAGATCCCCTTCACCCCGTGCCTCTCTCCCCGCTCCCTCCCCCATTCCCCTGCCCTCCACCCTACTCCTGCTGCCCCCAACGCCCAGCATGCCCTTCCCCCACCTTGTACCCCTTCCCCCCACTCCATGCCCTGCCCCCCCGCATGCCCTTCCCCTGCTCTGTACCCCTCTCCTGCTTCCTCCCATCACCCCAACCACCCAGCACTCTATTCCCCCCACCCTATGCCCCTGCCCCCAACCCCTACCCCGCCCTGCCCGGGCTCACCCCACTCCTCCTGGTGGGGCTCTGCCAGGCTGAGGTGCTGCACATGGCAGGTGTAGGTGTCCCCGGGCTTGGGGGTGGTGAGCAGGCTGACGTGGGTCTGGTAGGTCCAGTCGCCGTTGGCCAGCGCCGGGCTCAGGCCGTCCTCGGTGGGCTCCAGGGGGCTCCCGTTCCGCAGCCAGGTGACCCCCACGTCCGCCGGGTAGAAGCCCCAGACGTGGCAGGTGAGGCGCACGGTCCCCGCGGGGTTCGAGAGGGCCGTGGAGACGATGCGGACACTAGGGGGCGCTGTTGTGGTGGGAGTCACTGTATGGACCGTCTCCTGGTACACCCACCGCCCCCACCACACGTGGGTCAGACCCACGGGCCCCCAGCCCAGTATCCCCCTGCATCAAACCTGTCCCCCACCCTGGCTCAGAGCCAGGGGCCCCCCCACACCCCTCCCCCACCCTGGCTCCATGCCGGGGCCCCGCAGCCCCTCCCCGGCTCAGCACCAGGGGCCCTGCAGCCCCTCCTACACCCCGGCTCAGCGCCAGGAGCCCCGCACACCCCTCCCTCAACCCAACTCTGTGCCACGGGGCCCCACCACGCCCCCTCCCCCACCCTGGCTCCATGGCGGGGCCCCGCAGCCCCCTCCCCCACCCCGCTCGGTGCCCTGCGCCCCCACTCACTCTTCCTTTGCCCCGTGCGGCTCCAGAGGTGCTGGCTCTGGCTCTGGCAGGCCTGGCGACCCCCTGCCATGCGCTGGCGCAAGCTGGGGTCCCCGTTCAGGGCGGCGGCCATGTCTACGGCCATGTGTCTGAGCAGGCCCATGTCACAGGCCTCGAAGAGTTGGTCGTGGTCGTTGTAACACACCAGCGGGTTCTTGTTGAAGACGAAGGCGAAGTTGAATGAGAGCACGGAGCCGTCGGCTGCCAGGGGGCACTCGCTGGCCAAGTGCATCAGGAACCCGCCTGTGGGGACGGGGCCGTCAGGAGCGGGTTCGGGGCGGGGCAGCTGGGCAGGACAATGGGGGTCGGGAGTGGGGTGAGGGAGGGATGGGGTCAGGGAGGGCAGGATATTGGGAGGATGGGGATCAGGGAGGTGATGGGGACAGATGGGGACCGGTTCCACACTAGGCCATGCCCCCGGGGTGTAGACCAGGGGATGTTGGGTTTAAACCCCATCCAGGTGGTTCCTCTGCGGCTCTGGTGCCCTCCTGTGGGTGTGTACGTTGGGAACGATGGGGATTAACCACCCCCTACACACACACACAGCCCCTAGGGGTACAGACAGGGGTTATACCCCCATCCACACACAGACACAGCCCCCTAGGGGTACAGACTGGGGTTATACCCCTATCCACACATAGACACAGCCCCCTAGGGGTACAGACAGAGGTTATACCCCCATCCACACACAGACACAGCTCCCTAGGGGTACAGACTGGGGTTATACCCCCCCACACACAGACACAGCTCCCTAGGGGTACAGACTGGGGTTAACCACGCCCCACACACAGACACAGCCCCCTAGGGGTACAGACTGGGTTATACCCCCATTCACACACAGACACAGCCCCCTAGGGGTACAGACTGGGTTATACCCCCATTCACACACAGGCACAGCCCCCTAGGGGTACAGACTGGGTTATACCCCCATTCACACACAGGCACAACCCCCTAGGGGTACAGACTGGGGTTATACCCCCATTCACACACAGACACAGCCCCTAGGGGTACAGATGGAGGCTACCCACCACACACACACAGGCACAGCCCCCTAGGAGTACAGACTGGGGTTATACCCCCACATACACGCAGACACAGCCCAGCAGTCGCTGGGAGGAGGGGTACAGATGGGTTAAGACCCATCCACACACAGGCACTGTCCCCTAAGGTTAGACGTGGGGTTAAGCCCTATCCTGACATCTCCAGCAAGGGTCCTGATCCCGGGGCACAGCTCTGGGGAACAGGTGGTGGGACGCTCGCTAGGCTGGTCCCTGAAGCGGGGACCCCCGGAGAGGATTATAGGGGGCAGGGACCCCAAGCTCCCCCCAGGCCTGTGGCACCGACAGGCGCCCTCACCT